GAGGAGTATTGACTATACCATGGACTGTGAGGAGAACAAACAGGTTGTCCTTGAGAGAGTGAAACCAGACTGCTCCTTGTAGAAAGGATTCTGAAGCTTTGTCTGACATACATTGGGTATGTTGCAAGGAAGAACTAGTCCTTGGAGAGGGGCATTATGCTTGGGAGGGTAGAGGAACAGCACAGGAGGGGAAGACCCTTGATGAGATGGATTGATTCAGTGACTGGAGTAATGGGGGTCAGTGTGTCAGAGACAGTAAGGTTGGCTTACTGTTGCAAGCGACATGATAGCACATAATAACAACAACAACCACCACCACCTTCGATATGGGCTCATGACTGTGAGTCCATCTGCTAATCATCCTCAAGACAATCACCTTGATGATAATTAAGATTAACTAGGGGCAGGGGTACCATGTGTGCACCTGGGGCTCATCACTAGGTATGCTTCACATCATGTTCCCATCAGTTCTTCTTGTTCCTAATGGATTGTTCCATGCATCAACAGCCTATCCAACAGTCCTTCCTTCCTCTAATGGATTTTCATGAAAGCTCCCAACCACTTCAGGACTTTTCTTCTGAGAGACAAGGATATGGCAGGAGAAAAAGAACATTCTCTGGCTTTAGAATTTATGAGTGCTATTTTCTAAATTAAGATAGTTATCATAAATATTAATTAGAGTGCTTATATTGTGGCTGATTAACCTCACTGCCATCAGGCTCATTGACTCACAACACGCCTGTGTCAGAGGCTGCATGTTTCAATGGGAGTAACTTCTAGTCTTCTCCAGAGCCGCTGGTAGACCTGAAATGCTGGCGGCCTTCTGGTTAACAGCCCGACATGCTACAGACTATTCCAATGAATTGAGACCTTCTTGCTTGTGGTAGTAGTGAGAGTTCTAATTTTTTTTCCTGCAAAACGTGCTCAATTGAAACCTGGAAGGATGGCAAAACTGACCAATCCTTTCATCAGTCATTTATCCACTTGGTTTGTATATCCCCACACAGCCAGTTGGTAGAAATCAAAACTAATGGGTTAGAAAAGCCATTCTGACAATCAATTTATCCTACCACAGGCAAAAAGGAAAGAAGTTTCTATGAAGAGTCTGATGTATTAAGACTGAATATGTATTCTAAAATGACTGGCTATATCAAGAAAAGCTAGTGTTTTTTTCGATTACACACAGTTTACAAAATATCAACAAATGTATTTTATTGAACCAAATAGATGAAAGAATCAGATTTGGAATGAAATAGTCCTGGCCATCAAGAGTTTCAATTCCTCCTTTATGTAACCAACACTAGGAACTGTTCTCACCCAGAGTAACAAGTTGCTCTATAGATTTTTATATTTGCAATAAGAGGGTTCGTTTTATTCATTAGTGATGGCTTCTTCTGAATGTTACCCATTTTTCTGGGGTCAATTCTTGTAGTAAAAAGGACAGAGTACAAATGGTAAATTTTACCAAAGCAAATGGCCTCATCTTCCTGCCAAGTGGATTCAAAGTGCCAATTTTTAAGTTACAGACCAGCACTTCTTAATTGAAGACATCACCAGGGCTCCCTCTGAGTGTTAAAAATAATGCCAAAATGTGGAAAATTCAGGAAAAGCGTAAAAATAAATGCTTAGGTATCATACTGACAGTCACAAAATACACAGAGCAAGCGTTCTGAGAGCATCTGCTGAAGACGGTGGAGTTGCAAGTCTTGGGGGTGGATGGCCAAGGCCGTCATCTCCTGGGCCCCCAGTGTGGCCAGGTAGGTGCTGCTGGCCCTGAAGGTGGTGGTTATGCAGAGCATCAGTATTTCTGGCAACTTTTACAGAAATAAATGGAAGTATGAGTTCTTCCTCCACAAACACATGAACACCAGTCCATCCCAGGGTCCCGACCACTTCCAGGTCCCAGCTGCATCTTTTGGCGGACAGAGGGGAAGCACGCTGCCGCACAAGGCTTAGCGTGGCCAGGCTGCCCTGGATGGCGTCAAGGTGTTCGATCAGATCCCACCTCCCCATTACACGAGAAAGCGAATGGCGGTCCCTGCTGCTCTCAAAGGTCAAGCCCACTCCTAAGTTTGCCTACCTGGCCCGCCTAGCTCATGAGGTGGGTGGGAAGTACAAAGTAGTGAGGCCACTCTGGAGAAAAAGAGTAAAGAGAAGGCCAAGATTCATTAGCGGAAGAAGCAGATCATGAGGCTGTGAAACAGACGGAGAAGATGCTGGAGAAGAGGGGCACACACAGAGATCTTCCCGACCCCTGTGAAGACTTAATTCCTCACTGGCTTTTACTGCCTGGCCCTTCCTCCTTTGCCACGTGGAATGTGGGACCCTCCCCTGAAAGCAGCCTGGGGTGGGCAGAGAGGGTTCAGGTCAAGCTCTCAGAGATGATGCTCCCATTTTAGAAAGCCTTTCTAAGGCGTTTGCAGCTGGCATTTTTATGTAAATGAGAGCAGGAATAACAGTTCCAATTTAGGTTGCCGTTTTGCAAAAGGGAACTTGGGCTAATTGACACCACTGGAATCTGGATATTCCTTAAAGCCCGCATGGTTTTCTACTATACTCTGCAGCAGTTAGAATGCTCCAGTAAGTTTTTATGTACCCAGTGGTTTTCTAGTGATTGTAAAGAAGGTATTTCTTTATATAAAGATATTAATTTTGACTGGGAAAGGCTCCCACTAAGGGGCCACAGCACTGTGAGTGCTACTCCCCTCTATTCTGTAATTAAAAATGAACACATTGTTCGTGGAGGGGAAAAAAATATACAGAGAGAGAGAGAAACTGGGGGGGGGTGAATTTTATCAGATCTTAAAGTCTATCTTTTTAAAAATTTTGTTATTGAAAGTATACGCAGAGCATACATCCATTCAATAATTTATATGATTCAGTAACAAGTCTTTCTTTAAAAATAATCTAGAACCACTATCCAAACAGATATATGCACAGCCATGTTTATTGCTGTGTTATTTACAATATCAAAGAGATGGAAGCAACCCAAATGTGCATCAACAAATGAATGAATAGAAAAATGGTGGCATATTCACAAAATGAAATACTACTGAGTACTGAATCAATGAACTCATAAAACATTACACAACATGGGTGACCCTGGAGGACATTATGCTGAGTGAAATATCTTAGTCACAAAAGGAAATACTTCATAGCCACTATTATAAAGCAGGTCTGACATGCGGGGATGAAAGGAGAATAGGATAAAAGTGGATAGAGAATGACCATTGTATTGAAACATATAAAGGAAAAAACTGTTTAAAAGGAATATATGATTAGGCATCATTGCAAAGAGGACTAGGGAGAGGTAGTGGAAATAGTTGTGCAACAATGAATGAATATATTTTTTTTTAAATGAACTGGGGGAGGGGAAAGGAAAGAAGAAGGGGTTAAATGTGCAACAATGAATGAATGAAAATCTAACTTTTCTGTCAACTTTCATTAAAATCACAATTAAAAAAATAACAAATTAAAAAAAAGATCTAACGTTACATACAACTCACATACTTTGGGCACATTGTTGGGAGAGACTATTCCTTGGAGAAGGACATGATGCTGGGAAAGACCGAGGTTTGGTGGAGAGACGAAGAGCCTCAACCAGGTGGATTGACAGTGACTGTCAGGAAGTGTGAGAATGGCACAGGGTAGGACAGGATTTAGATCTGTTCTTCATGGGTTGCTTTGGGTCATATTCCTCTCGACAGCACCTACCAACACTACATACAAAACATTATTTTTCAAAGCTGTACGATGGATGTTTTCCTTGGAATTGTACCATGTCTTAGGGAACTCTTTTCATGCAATTTATTTCTCTCTAGTTAAACTCTGTGATGTACACATAAGTCTTTTATCTAGTTCCTCTATTACTTTTGAGTAAAATCCTGAAAGTTACCAGAGCAAAAGGAGCGAACTTTAAAGAATACATACACACATGCACATATGCACATGCATACATACACACATGCACATATGCACATGCATACATGCACACATGCACATATGCACATGCATACATACACACATGCACATATGCACATGCATACATACACATCTATAATATTTATATTTGTGAATATATATGTTGTTGTTGTGCACCATAGAGTTGGAACTGGCTGACCCTCTTGCGGGTTTTCAGAGACAGTTAATCGCAGAAGAGATTGCCCATCCTCCCATGGAGGAGCTAGTGGCCTCGAACCACGTGACTTAAGGATTGCCGTTTCTTGCCTTTAGGCACACCCTCCACATACAGATTTTAAATAGTTGTGCTGCCAACCCAAAGGCAGTAGTTAAGACTCCACAGGCTGCTTCCAGGAAGAAAGATAGGCAATCATCTCCTGCGCGTCTCATTGTCTCTGAAAATGTGCTGGAGGGTAAGCTATGAGTCAGTTCCAGCTAGAGGGTACACAACAGCAACAACATCCATATACAGATACAGATAATTAAAACCAAAATGTTCAGAAGCAGATTCTGTGTCATAGGTGGTCCATCAGTGACTTCAAACCCATCAACCCCATCAAATTCCCTCCACGTAGTACATTTTAAAGCTTTAGTAACCATTTTTAGCCCAGTCTGCACCCAAGGATGCAACAATCCACTCAAAGGCTGGCCTCTGCCTGCATAGAGAACCTTCATCCCACAACCCCTTAGCACCACACCTCTTTAAATTTTAAAACGAAAGTTTAGACCAATGAATGTTAAGGATCTTCCGGAACTCGGAGCCTGTTTCGTAATAAAGGCTTCCACCAATCAAAAGAAGGTATTCACCTCTGCCTTTCCAATCACTGCCTAGACTGGAAGTTGCATACGTCCCTACGTAAGGCAGGCAGCCAATAGGAGCTGATTTACAGAGCTTACTCTGCCAATTGTAGCTGCTCTTGGAGAGCGCGGGACACTTTCGAGCTAAGGCCCTAGAGGGAAGTAGTGAAAGGTCCTTGTTCCCTAACAAGGGTCTTGGTGAGAGGAGCGCGGGAGGCGGCCGGGGCCCCGGCTCAGCCGGCATGGCCTGCTGTCACAAGGTGATGATACTGTTGGACACTGCGGGAGGCGCCGCTCGCCACAGCTCGGTTCGGGGGGCCGCCCTGCGCCTCCTCACCTACCTGAGTTGCCGATTTGGGCTGGCGAGGGTCCATTGGGCCTTCAAGTTCTTTGACTCACAGGGGGCGCGGAGCCGGCCCTCGCGCGTGTCGGACTTCCGCGAGCTGGGGCCCCGCTCCTGGGAGGAATTCGAGGAGGAGCTGGAGGCCAGGCTCGGCGATCTGACCCACAGCGCCCACCTTCCTGGTCCGGCGCCCAGGGCCACGCACACGCACGGCGCTCTGATGGAGACGCTCCTGGACTATCAATGGGACCGGCCCGAGATCACGTCGCCCACCAAGCCCTTCCTGCGGAGCAGCGGGCGGAGACTGCTGGACGTGGAGAGCGAGGCCAAGGAGGCCGAATCAGCCCTCGGCGGCTTCGTGAACGCCGTCTTCCTCTTCGCCCCGTGCCCGCACTCGCACAGAGAGCTGCTGCAGTTCGTGTCCGGCTGCGAGGCCCAGCGCCTGCCACCCAACCCCAAGCAGGTGATGGAGAAGGTGTTGCCCAAGACGGTTCAGGAAGTCATGAAATCCCGAAAAATCACCCTGTACTGGGTGGATACCACGGATTGGCTTAAGGTACAATGCTCTTAATCTTAGATGTAATACACCATCTTTCCTGTGGCTTTAGTGGTAAGGAGTTGCGCTGCCAACCCAAAGGTACATAGTTCGAATCTACCAGCTCCTCTGCGGACCGAGGATGGCAGTCTCCTCCCATGAGATTTCACTGCCTCTGAAAAACCACTGGAGGGTCCGCTGTGTGTCGGATCCGACTGGAAAGCAATGAGTTTTGAGTTTGCTGGTAACCCCAAACCTAGTAACACCTGCATGTAACAGAACCAGGATGAGACAGTATGGCCAACATGTGGCCCTTCCCAAGTAAAACTTTGATCACAAATTGGGACAGACCTCACAGTAAAATAGCAGCTGGAACTATGGTGGCAACTGAAGTCCTGTCTTTTGTCAAGTTTACTTTCTAGTGGTGAGCATATATTAAATAGCAAGCATATAAGGGATGAGTTTGGAATGTAAGGTGTTAGTTGGGAAAGTCTAGCAATGGAATAATGAAGGCAAAATGGGAAGGTGGGGGAAGAATTCTCCAGGTAAAGAGAAGAGAGGAATGTCGTGATTTTTAGCTGAAAAAGAGCTTGATTCCAGGAGCAAAAAAGGCAGGCATGCTGAGACCTAGCAGTCCAGGTGAAAGTCTGAATAAGAAGTCAGAATGTAGGAAGTGCCAAGCTAGTAAGACCAAGATGATACCTGTGGATTTTGCTGTGTGATGAGGACACTTTGGAGGATTTAATAAGAAATGTGATTCTAGTTAATGGAAATAGAGTTTATGGAACCCGAAGTGGGTTAAACTGCAGAATTATAGATGGATAAGGAATAGGTAGTGAAATCATTAGATAATGTGTTCAGCCTGACATGTTTTCTCATACAAAGCTCGAAGAAGATAGGGCCGTGTTCAAAATAAAGGAATGGTGACTTGTCAAAGAAGAAATGGAGGGGAAGTGTTTAATGGGTGGTAAACATCTGATAGGAAAACATGGAATTATGGAAATTAAAATTTGTTAGGGCAGGAAATCAAGTGCTCAATTTGGGATCACTTTTGTCAAATCCAGGCAACTCTGATGTCTTAGTCTGAAGGGAGTTGCGCTGTTAACCCCAAGGCAGTGCCTTTCTAAGGGTTCAAGTCCACCAGCGACACCATGGGAGAAAGATAAGCAATCTTCTGAGGGATTCACTGCCTCCAAAGCCTGCTAAGGGTCCTCTACGGGCCTGTTCCGTCTTGATGGCCGTGAGTAGAGGAGTGATATCAAAGTCTCCATTCTGAAATTATGTTAAATTCTGACTAGAAATAAGTATTACAGATAGAGTTTTTTGCCACTGTCTTTTAGAACAGCATGAAAACCAATGAGTTGACTGAATCGGTTCTGATGCTCTACTATCTGAGGGGATGAGTAATCCCTGAGGCTTCCCTGCTGTGCTGTCTCCATAAAGAAGATGCCAAACCAAAAGCTTAAGTTTTTCCAGTGTGTGTGTGTGTGTGTGTGTGTGTGTGTGTGTGTGTGTGTGTATGTGTAGATCTGTCTGTCTGCTATTCAGAAACCTGTGCCCGACCACAGAAATCAGCAGGGAGGTTTATAATTGTGCCGGTGAAGGATCTCAGTTCTGGGATGGGCAGAAGAGAACTCAGTCTGGAAATAGAAAAAGACTCCCAGACGTGGGACAACAAAATCTTCTCGTTTTCTTCTATTTATGAATTACCTAATTTTGCAATAACCTAACCAAGTTTCCCATAATTTATTTCAGTTGTGGGACTCCCCAGACCGCCTTGGGTTCCAGACGGTATGTGAACGTCTCCAGAGTCTGGGAGGTACTGTCTTGCCATCTGAACCTTTCAGCCAAAATTTTCCTAAAACTGGGCAAAATCTGCTTAGTGATGAAAGGAAACCTGCAAACAAACATCTTCTTTCTCCGTGGATTTCAACTTTACCAACTGATTCCTCTTTAAACTGTATGTTCTACAATTCTTGTCAATATGAAGCATCATTTCCACGAATAGAAGGAATGTTATTTCTCCCTGTCAAAGGTAGGCCAATTATATTCTGGGTGGTTGTTTTATTTCAGTTACATTGTTTTCTTCAAAGTGCGTTAGCATTAGAATCTCCAGCAGTCTAGGATTTTGTGCTGCTGTACTCTGAATTACAGTAGATCTGACAGCACCTAACAACTGCATAGACTTGATTATGTTAATGAAAGAAGGAAAAGATGGTTAAGCTATCAGAGGTACCACTGGAAAGAATTGAACGCAATTACAACTGCCACTTGTTGTTGTGTACCGATGAGTCAGAACCAACCCATAGCAGAGCCTCCAGCAGGTTTTCAGAGGCAGTTAATTGCATGGGAGGAGATTGCCCACCCTTCTCCCATGGAGCAGCTGGTGGCCTCGAACCATGTGTCTTCAGGATTACAACACAGCTTCTTGCCAGTAGGCCACCAGAGCTCCCCACAACTGCCACTAGTACTTAAAAAATCCATGTGAATGATCTTGTTAAGAGTTTTCCAGGGGAGCTCTGGTGGCCTAGTGGCAAGGAGCTGCAACTACAATCCCAGAGGCACACGGTTCGAATCCACCAGATGCTCTGCCAGGGAAGGAGGGACAATCTCCTCCTGTACCAGTCAGATCTGATTTGATGGTACACTCACACAAAAATAACAAAATAAAAAAAAATTTTTAAAAAAAGTTTTCCAACTAATCTCAAAGAATAACAGTATTGTTCAGGTGCTTAAGCAAATGGTTGGAAGATTTCTCATTGCCTTTCTCCCAGAAGATACTGAGAAACTGAAAACTAGAAACAGTGATTGACTAAGAAAAAAATTTGTATACCAAAGCTAAAATAATTTCCAGTTACTAGGAAGATACAACACATTAGATTCTTCATAAATTTGTTTCATGCTATCACATGTATAGTGTTTCTTCATGTAGAAATAATAGCAGATAGAGATGCATACATAATGCTATATGCATAAAACTTGTTCATCCCGCACAGGTTACAGAATTTTTAAGAATAAATTTGTTTAAGCAGTTTTTATCATACACATTGTCTTTGGAACTTAGCTTGCTCATATGATAGGATGCATTGTATTTTTTTTTGTTTGTTTAACAAGTCTAAAGTTTTTATTATATTTTATAAGAAAGTATTACTTGAAAAAAAAAGAAAGTATTGCTTGAATACTTTTCTTTTTTTACTGAGATTTTAATGAAAGTTTATAGAGAACTTTGATTTCCATTCATCTATTGTTGCAAATTTTCTTGAACACTCATTTTCAAGACAAAAATCATGGAGTTCAGACATCAAGTTGCATCTTTGTGATTTCTTTCGCATATAGCTTTTACTGAAATACATGAACTGGCTGTAACAGCCTGTTGACCATGAACTCAAGTGTGATATATGAACTCAGATATATACTAGTACCTTAGCAGGGGGCTCTGGTGGCCTAGTGATAGTTGCACTGCCAAGCCAAAGGCAGTTCAAATCCACCAGTGCTGAGGAAGAAAAATGGGTAATGTCCTCCTATGGGATTGGCAGCCTCTGACAACCTGCTAGAAGATCAGCTATGAGTTGATTTTGACTTGACAACACATAATAACAAAGTACCTCAAATAATGAATTGATTTCCTCCCCAGTGTTTCTTATTAAATGTGTTGACAGTAACTGTTTCTTATGAAGTATTGGTCTTTCACTGGTAGAATCTTGCCTTCTATGTGGGAGACCCAGCTTCCATTCCCAAAGAATGCATTTCATGCACATTTACTAGTCTGTCAGTAGAAGCTTGCATGTTGTTAGGATGCTAAACAGGTTTTAGCAAAGGTCTTAGTTTGGAATTGTAATAATTTTCTCTCTCAAACAGGCAAGGAGATTCAAGAAACATGTGTCATCACATTAGAGCCCTTGACCATGCATCAGAGCCTTTTTCAGAACCCAGTCAAGATTGTTCTAAAAGGCACAGCCACCCAATGGACTCTCCCAGTGAGCAGTACCTTAACCACTGATAGCTGGATGCTCCAGAGTCCAGAGAGGGACGGAGCAAGTCAGAGTTTATTCCAGCAGCTGGCAAATAGGCTGATTGCTGAACAGTTATATCTGGTAGGTATTCTTTACATAATAAGTTATTTTTATTAGTAGTAACAAACTTGTTGTAAACCATTGAGTTGGAACTGACCCATAGCTCACCTGCCAGCGGGTCTTCAGAGGTAGTTAATCACACGGGAGGAGATTGCCCATCCTTCTCCCTTAGAGCAGCTGGTAGTTTTGAACTGCATACCTTTGAGTTGCCAGCACCACTTCTTGCTATTAGGATAACAGTTCCCTAAAACACTGGTGAAATGAAAAAAGGAAATTTCAGAAATGCCCAGGAACACTCTTGTTTCCCTGTCTTAAAATTGTTGCTTTAATAGATATTTCATCAGTAAGTGACTTTAAGAACAGAAATGTATTTTCTCAAAGTCTTGGAGGCTGAAAATCCAAATCAGGCTATACTGATTCTTTTTGTGAACCTTCTCTCATTTCTGGTGTCTGATCCTTTGTATTCTGTCGCTTGTAGACAATTCTGACATATCATCAGTCTTCCTTGTATATATTTTTTATCTGTTCTGTTCTTTTTATAATTCAGAAATGATTAGGTTTAAGATTATTCTATGCTGATATGACCTCATTAACATAACAAGTAGAATTCTGTTTCCTTACAAGAAATTCAACACATTTTTGAGGACACAGTAACGTCCAGGGAGCTGTGCTGCAATCCCAAAGGTACCAGCCCAATTCCACCAGCTGCTCCACAGGAGAAGGATGAGCGATCTAAAAACCTGCTGGAGAGTCAGCTGTGGGTTGGCTCCAACTTTATGACCCACAACAATGTCCAATAGAAATGTCTTTTGGTGGGGGGGAAGGTCTTTTAGAAGCAAACACACATACGTTCACAGATGAGATTTAAAGATGATGATTCTTTTGAGAGTACCAGCAAATTAGGTACCTTGGCTCGTCTCTTGCCTTCATCACCTGAAGGAGAGTCTATCCTCTGGATCTTCTAGAGTGAAACTGGATAGTTACGGAACAGATATCCTCAGAGTTGTGTGCTGTTACGGAAAGGACACTGGCAGGGAGTCAGATCTGGATGAGGGCCCAGCTCTGCTATCACCTGTGCCGTCTTGAGTAAATCACTTAGTGCTGATACTGCTTCCTGGTTCAAGAACATGGCACTTACTGAGTTGTCTCAAACTAGTTACCATTCTTATCAACCTCAATTTCTGCTCTAGAAACTGGGGATAACACTTTTTACCTCAGATGAGTTAATAGTTACTAGGATTCAACAAATTATAGCAAACATTATGAATGTATAGTAAATATTCCTGGTATTCTTAAAATTTTATTGTTTGTAAATTGAAAAACTAGAGCTATATACTACTATTCAGAACTCTTCTTCTATTCCTAATAACCAATTTTCTCTTGTCCATGTTTCTCTCTTTTATACTAATAGTCTTTGGGGAAATGTTCATTCAGTATTTAACCCCATCATTCAGCACTAGGCATATTGACAGCAGTATTTTCTATTAATTAAAGTTTCTTACGTAGGTTGTCAGTGTGGACCCTTGTGAAGGCTGGCCCCCGTCCACTGGAGTTATATCTCCCTTCTCCTCCAATGCTACCGTCCTCACTGTGTTCCGCCCTGAAGAGGCTGAATTTCAAACACGTTTTCTCCAAACGGTTGTGGCAGAGAGTCCCCAGGAAACATCAGCTTCTCTTTTCCGTGATATCACAGATGATGTATTAAAGCAGATTGAGAATTCCCCGGAAGATGCCACTTCTCCTGGTGAGCTTGTGAACTGAGAGCTAACATATCCGAGGGCGGGAGTGTTTCATCTTCTCCAGCACAGAAATTTTCTACTGTGTACTAAGTAGAATCCCAGTACTTTGTAAAACAGATAAAAGCAAGTTTAAATAATTTCAAAAAATCCTGAGGCATTTTTGAGGATGCCTAAGGCTCTTTGGAAACAAATTTGAGATCAGAGACAGAAGATGAAACCTGGAGTTTAATCTGTTTAGTGAGCTTGGTCCAGGATTGGGCAGGGTTTTGTTCTCTTATATGCAGTGTTGCTATGAATTGGAGTTGACCTGATGGCATTTAACAGCAACATGTAAAATTCAGATGCACAAGTGGTGTAATAAGGAGTCCTGGTGGGTTAAACATTGGACTGTTGACTGAAAGTTCACTCGTTTGAAGTCACCAACCACTACTTAGGAAGAAGATAAGACCCATCTACTTCCATAAAGATTTATAACCTTGGAAAACCTGGGCAGTTCCACTCTGTCCTGCAGGGTCACTATGCATCAGAATCGACTCAACAAATTTTCATTTGTTTGGTACATAAGACTGTAGTGAGTGTATCTGCCTTGTTGTTGTTGTTACTAACATTATACAAACCTTGAGATTTAAATCCATTTCGTATTTCTTTATTCAACAGATTTTATTGAGTACTGGGTATTTCAAGCTTTGTTAGGTACTAGCAATATATCAGAAGTCAAATCAGACAAAATTCTTCTTCTGTGGAGCTTACCATCTTGTTGGGGAAACAGGACAGTAAACTCACTAATGACATTGTGGAGTTTGGGTTAATGCAGTTGGGTGGGGCTGTCAATCTAATCAATGGCGTGTTGCCTGATTAAAGCCAAGACTATGCATCTCTGGAGTTTCAAACCCTCCGGGACCTCTGAGGGAGAAGGTGGCCAGTCTGGTTCACCGCTCTGGAAAACTGATGGGGTCATCAGAACTGACTAGACAGCAGTGAGCTTTTTCTTTTATTAGAGATCTAAGTATGTTGTTGTTATGTAAGTATAGTGTTATTGATTGCCTTCAAGTCGAACCCAACTCATAACAACCCTATGAACATAAGGCCTGAATCCTTTCTATAACTATCGACATTTATCAAAGTTCGTAAGAGTTTTCAGAGGTGTGTTGTTTAGGAAGTGGATGCCACTCCTGCTTCTAAAAGTATAGTGTTAAGTAAGCAATTTGAGTAAGTATTAAGTAAGCAGTTAGATAGATGTGTTGTCTGGTGTTTGTGAGATTGGTCTGGACTAAAATGATAGGAGTTGTTAGTGTATAAATCGTATTTAAAGACACAAAATAGCCCAAGATCTTCAGTAGTGAGTAGATGGAGTAGAGGACTAAGAATTTAACCGGGCATCCCAATATTAAAGAGCTCTACAGTTGAATTGTGGCCACTCCCCTGTCTCCTGTCACTCTTCACATCCCCCTCAAGCAAAATATGTGTGATAAATCCCAACTGCTTTCTCTGTATAATTCCATTTGGAAACTGATGGGTTTATTAATGAGGCAGGATTAGTGTAGAAAGTGTCATACTTCAAACTCTTCTTAAGATTTCTTCCTTTGCGCTTTGTATTGTAGTTGGACTGAAAGTTTACAGTGCACATTAGCTTTCTGTCTAATAGTTTGTGCATATTTTGTTTGGTGACATTGGTTACAGATTCCTCGCTGGAACAGCTCTTCTCCCAGGCTCTGCTCCCGTTCCAGGTGTCCTGTTTATCTGCCCTTTCTGGCCTCTGAGCTTTTAGGGGAGTGAGTGCTGGCCCTTTGGTCTTAGGTTTTTTGTACTGGATACTTTTTCTCCCTGGTGTTATCATCCATTTTGTAGGTCTGTCTATTATTTGCCTGAAAGTTCATCTCCAGGGATGGGTTCAGTTCTAGGTTTGATGGGTATCTAAGGTCCAGGCTTGGGGGTTCCACCAGTGTATGTCACTTTTGAGCGGTAAAAGAGATTCAAAGAAGAAAATCAAGAGACCCGAAGACATGAGAGGAAGAATGATGCCAAGCCATGTGGTGATCACCACCTCGCTCATTCATTTGTTGCCTTTGAGTTGGAACCATCTGTATTCTGGGAGGCTCTAAAACACATGGGAGGAGATTGTCCAGCTTACTCTGTGGAGCTGCTGGTAAATTCACACTCCCAGAGAGGCCTTGGTTCTGGGTTAGCAACTGAACTCCCCGCACTGTACCACCAGCGTTCCCTACGAGATTCCTAAGAAACCAGGATAGATGCGCAAGAGGTAAGGACCTTTCCCACCAAGCCAACCAAGAAAACCTAGAACCAGTGCCCTGAACTCACGTTTCTGGCCTCCTAACTCTGTGAAAGTAAATTTCTGCTGCTTACTAGATAACTAAGACAAGTTGTCTGGGAGATAGATGAGAGAAAAGGCAGCAAAGGAGACAGGAAGAAAATGGGTAGATGGCAGTAAAGGGGAGACTGCAAAGGGTGGTGTCTAGAACCCAAGCAAAGAGAGTGCGTAAGGAGGAGAAAGAGATCAAGTGGGGGTCAGGTAAGATGACATTTGGTCAGACTTGAACTTGGTAGAGGTTGTTGTTGAACTTCAGGAGTTTTGGTGCAACAATGAAGGTAGACTCATGAGTGGAAGTCGGTTCAGGTGAGAAGAGAAAAGATGTTATGAAAAAGCAGTAACATGCAGACAGATTTTTGAGTTGCAGAGAAGAGGTGTGTCTGATGATCACCACCCCATGGAAATCAGACTTGGGCCAGGGACCTGCATGATTCTCCTCCGCCTCATGAAGTTGGATGCCACACGTGTTTTGCTATCATCAAGCGTAAAGACTGAAAGAGTGTTGGAGAAAGTGAGTCAGGAGAAAAATATCCTCAAGGAATGAGATGGGGTGATCCAGGGTTCCTTAGAACAAGAAGATCTTTCACAGTGATATCAGCTGGGTTTTGTTGCTGTTTCTGTTTTTGGTGAATAGAGGGATCAAAGAGGATACAAACCCACCTCAAGGCCAAGTGGAAGAAGGGTGGGGAATAAACAGACAGTTATTAATAGTAATAGTGTGGCCAAGTTTTCAGGGAGAGGGAGAGGGTATTGAGGATATAGGGAATGTTACTGATGCCGATGCCAGTGAGCTCCAAAGTGGTTCCAAAAAACCAAACCAAACCTACTACCTTAGCATTGTTTCTGACCCGTAGGGACCCTCCGCTGAGTTCCTGAGATTATAAATGTTTACATGAGAAGATTCCTTCCTTTTTCCCAGAAAGCAACTGGTGGATTTAAACTACTTTGGTTCGCAGCCCAGATACATTATGCATAATGTTGAAAACTTTTCAAAGCCCCTTTCAAAGAGCACAATGCAAGGGGCAAGGTGTTGTAGTTATGTGCTGTCAAGTTGACTCTGACAGCGACCCGATGAACAATGGCTCTGAACCTTGCCCTGTCCTGAGCCACCCTCACCGTCTCTGACACACCTGACTCCATTGCCACAGTCAAGTGTCAATTCATCTCATGTAGGGTCTTCCTCTCCTGCACTCACCTTCCACCTTTCCAAGCATGATATCCTTCTCCAAGTGCTGGCCCCTCCTGGCAACATGTGCAAAGTATGTGGGATGGTTTCAAAATCCTTGCCTCCGAGGAGCAATTTGGTTTCAATTTCTCCAGGACAGACCCGTTTGTTTTCTTGGCAGACCATGGTATGTTTATTACTTTTCTCCTGCACCACAGCTCAAAGGCATCGATTCTTCTTTCATCCTTAATCATTGTCCAGCTCTCAGATGCATAATAAGCAATTGAGAAGACCATGATTTCTATCAGGGGCACCTTAGTCTTTAGCTTGACATTGTTGCTCTTTAGCATTCTAGAGAGTGCCTTGACAGCAGATTTTCCCAGTGTAACTCGTCTTTTTTAATATTCTGACTTCTGGTGCCAAGGATGTTGATTGTGAATCTAAGATGAAATTGTTAATAACTTCAATCTCTTCTCCATCTAGCATTGTGCTGTCTATTGGCCCAGTGGTGAGGATTTTTATTTTCTTGATGTTGAGATGTGTTAGTGTCTTGGAGGAGGTGTGACCAGGGTGCTCCTGAGAAGCAAGAGTGGTGAAACTTCATCACACATAATTTGGGCATGCTGTCAGGAGATAGTAGTTCTTGGAAAAAGACATCATGCTTGGAGAAGAAGGTTAGCAAAAGAGAGGAGGACCTTCAACAAGCAGGACTGCCACACTGACTGCCAGTGGGCTTGAGCATGTCTAGTATGAGGACGGCAATACAGGTCAAAGGTTTGATCCTGTTATTTATATAGGGTGGCTGTGATGGATTGACACTTTACTGAGATAATGGGGGTAAGTGTGTCAGAGACAGTGAGACTAGCTCAGGTAGGATATGTTGTTGTTATGTCATCGAGTCGCTTGCGACTCACAGCAACCCTATGTACAACCCTAAACCCTGTTCTATCCTGTGCCAACCTCACTGTGACACACCTCTTCCCATTGCTTCGATCACTGAATCGATCCATCTCATTAAGGGTCTTCCTCTCCTGCACTGTCCCTCCACTCTCCCAAATATGATGTTCCTGTCCAAGGACTGATCCCTCCTTGCAACATGCCCAAAGTGTGTCAGACAAAGCTTCAGAATCTGTGCCTCCAAGGAGCAGCCCGGCTTCACCCTCTCCAGAACAAACCTGTTTGTTCTCTTAGCAGTCCATGGTATATTCAACACTCTTCTCCAGCACCACAGCTCAAAGGCATCGATTCTCTATCATCCCTAGTCATTGTCTAGCTCTCCAATGCGAAGACGATGGCCTGGATCAGGTGCACCTTATTCTCCAGCCTGATGTCATTGCTCTCCAGTACTCTGGAGAGGTGTCTTGACAGCTGACTCTCACAAAGCAATTCGTCTCTTGATTTCTTGGCTGCTGGTACCAAGAGTGTTGACTGTGGAGTCAAGCAAACTAAAACTGTTAACTATCTCAATCTTTTCACCATCCATAATGATGCTGCCAACTGGCCCAGTGGTGAGAATCTTTATTTTCTTGATGTTGAGCTTCAATCCATACTGAAGGCTGCAGTTCTTGACCTTCTGCAGCAAACACCTCAGGTCTTCCTCAGAGGATCTCTAAAAGTCGAAGGTGACTCGTTGGCACATAACGAGTCATAGCCATCTAACAAAAACAGAGGGGATTAGAGTATGGAAAGCAAGAAATTACCTGGGAGACAAGGGCCAAACGGACAGAGGTGAGTATGATGTAACATAAGAGTAAAGGCCGATAGCAGTGATGAACTATGAGTATTGGGGAATTGATGGTGTACGGAGGACTGAAGTTTGTCCCCACTCCTGAGAGTGGAAGTGTGGAGACTAGAAGATGGGTCATCTCACTCTATAGACTCGGGCTCCCTGTTTACCCTGCTAATGAAGGAGGCCACGGTAGTGGGCTGTCTTCTGACCTCTGTTGGAGGACACATAAGATATTCTGATGTTGAAGGGTCCAAGTAAACTCCATAAGAAATACTTTTTTTTTTTAAACTATTTTTTTGTGTGTGTGTACCATCAAATTGGATCTGACTGGTACAGGAGGAGATTGTTCCTTCTTCTCCAGCAGAGCATCTGGTAGATTTGAACCACATGCCTCTGGGATTGCAGTGCAGCTTCTTGCCACTAGGCCACCAGAGCTCCCTTTAGTCTATCTCTTTTTAAAAGAAAAAATTAAGAGGCTTGATGGAATGGGTGAAAGGAAAGGTTGAAGTTCCTATAGTACGAAGACCAGGGCCAATAGCAGAGCTAGGTGAGGATTGAGTAATAATTATCAACTTATACCAAACAGCAAAGTAGAAAAGTATGAGTTGATAGGGCTTAGTGCACAGTGCACTGTGTTCCTCTGGCTGCTGTTTGGGTGGCTCAGGTGGCCTAATGGGGAAGGAATGGTGCTGCTAACCAAAGGCAGGCAGTGTAAGTCTACCAGCTGCTCCAACAGAGCAAGATAAGCAGTCTCCTGAGTGATTTAAGAACCACTGGGGATCAGCTATGAGCCAGTTCTCCATATCAGGGACTGGCTATTTTACTGCACTGTAGCCAGCCCACAATTTCTTTAAGGATATAAATGAGATTGCTCACTTAGTGTCCAGATCCCCCTAGGTCTCCATTCAGGTTGATTCTTATTTTTGCCTCAGTACCCAACCCAAATATGGCTCCTTGCATGAGATTTCCCTGTCTGCCTAGACAGTTAATCTGCAATAACACTTCTGCATACCTCTACCACATCATTTGTATCTGACCCATATTTACCTTATAAGGATGAATTAACTATTCCTTTTGTCTCTATCTTTTGAGGTTGTTTAAACAGGTTTTCTGTTTTAACCGTTTTCTATTAATTCTTCTCTAACCACTTGGTAAAATTTTTTTCTGTGATGCTATCTGGTCTAATACTTTATTCTGTGATTTAAGTTTATAATTGTCTCAAGAGAAGAAATGGGACACAGGGTCATACAGCCATGAATATCTCTCTGAAAGGGCCAGAGGGAGTGAGAATAGCACAGCCCTTAACCACCCCAGAGCAGAAAGCAAATAAAGAGCCCAAAGCCCAGGCCCATACTGCCCCAGCACATGAGCTTCGTATTTTTTGTTGTTGGCTCACAGACTCAGAGCTATGGCATTGAGAATTGGGGTTTTTAGGAAAGTTAAGTTGGAGAGTGGGGGAGACAAAGAATATCACCTAAAACAAATTCAGTTTAGTCCAACAGTCCCAAGGCACAGTTCTTGAATTAGTTCAGGTTCTGGTTTCAGTTCACTCAAATTCAAATCATCCAGCAAGGTTTGCTACACAGACATTACAAGTCACCTTGTCCTTCAGTCATCCAGCAAGAACAGCAAAAACCTTTAACTGTGGCTTTCATCTCACCTCCTCTCTGTACACAGTTTCTCCACAGCAATGCCACAGTCCACCACCAGGATCTTGCTCTAACCAGGGTCTTGCTCTAGTCTTCCCTCAAGTCTTGCAACTCAATGTGGGAAGCACTCTTTCTCTTATCCTAGTCCCACTGCTGATGATTTGCAAGACCATGTGTCTTAGTAAAGGTAGCTGGAGACTAGCTATAATGGCTAAAAGAAAGCCAACTTTTAGGCTAACACCCCAACAATGCATATAGGGTTTTCATTCATTCATTCATACACATTTTGTTTTATGACATGAGTTATAATATCCACAATGTCTTTGTACTTTTCCCAGATTCCTCCTGTAATTCTCATTTCCATTAATCCTGCTATTTCACCCCTTCCTGCCTCCCAGGCTTTGTCTTTGCTTGTGCAAGTGCTGTAATTTTGACCTCATATTGTAAGGAGTGTGTGCCTCCCTGGTGTTATTGATTAATAACAATATAATAATAACTTTATAGGACTACAGTTTGGCTGAAAGTGGAGCCACAGGGTGAGTTGTGTTGGTCTAAAGGTGACTAAAGGCCATAGTCTTAGGGGTTCTACCAGTTTCTACTAGACCAGGAAACCTGGCCCTTTTTCCATTTTTAATTTGTTCCACATCTCCCCCTGCTCTATCTAGGATCTTCTCTGATCCCTTTTAGCATGGTTAGTAGTGGGAATGGGCACCATGTGGTTCTTCTGGTCTCGTGGTCATGAATATTGATGTTCCTGTGACCCATTAATCTTTTGGATGAATTGTTTCCGTACACCTTTGCTTTCCTTCCTTTGTCTTTGCTCTGGCCAGGGAGAGACCAAGAATTGCCCCTTTGATGGCTGAGAACAAATTTTCAAGACTCTAGTTGCTGCTCACCAAAGTGGGTTGTAGAACATTGTCTTTGTTGGCTATGTTATGCTAATTGCGTTGATGTCTAGGACTTTTTTTTTCCTTGTTTGAACAGAAATTTATTCTCAGATTAATGCACAAAAGCACAGGTGACTCCTGTGCCAGTCAGATCAGATTGGACTGTACACAACAATAAAAAAAAAAAAAAAGAACAAGTAAGGATCCTGCTGGAAGGCTTCTCCTCCTTCCTCCCTCCTCTCAGAATGCAGGGAGAACACAGCTGAAGGAAACATGCAATCTCAGTCATCAAACTCAAAAGTAAAAAAGATTTGGTCCAGAAAAACTCAATTAATCCAATGATTGTGAACAGCTTCACTGAATAGAATTAAGATACCGCAGATGTGGTGTTTCCACAGGACAATGCTTCAGAGGACCAGGGGGCCCTGCTTGAGGGAGATGTGGACCGAGCACATGCGGGAGGCGTCTTTGGCCTGCTGGCTGGACTTGGGGTTAAAGTCCCACAGCCAGACCACCGTCCCCACTCAGTACCTGGGAAAGGCTCGTCAATGTTGTTTTTACCGGCTTCTGCGGCGTTGTTGTTTTCTGTAACTGCTCCTCCTGTCTTGCATACCACACTATTAGCTCCTGAATTGCTTTCTCATTCCATTCTGCTTCTTGCTACCGAGAATGGGCGTCAGGGGCTTCCAAGCTTTCCGTTTGCTTTGCTCTCCAATTACGAATACTTTGAGGCTCTGACTGCAGTGGAGAGATTGCAATGCTCTTGTGAGACGGCTGGATGATTGTAGGGCCTTTCGTCTCATGGTAATACTCGCCATTCATCACGCCATCATCAGCATCCGGATCCCCTGATGGCTCGCCATGGGGCCCGGGGTCGCCTCCGTCCAGGATGGCGAAGGCCTGTGGTTCTCGCTGCCCAGGAAGGCCGGAGCCGGGTCGTCTTCGCCAGCCACCCCCTTCCCCAGTGCGGGGCCGCCTCCGCCACGGCAGGCAGTTCAACGGCACGGACACTGACGTTGGGAGACCAACCAACTGACCCACTGACACGGGCAGGAGGCGGTCACGGCGCTGGCGAGGCCGAGCGGGGGCCGAGGGGAGGAAGGCGATGTCCAGGACTGGTTTCCGAGGGGAGGAAGGCGATGTCCAGGACTGGTTTCGACCCCTGATTTGATCGTTCCACTCGTCCTGGATCTGTTGAGACGACTTTTTGTATCCGTTTGAGCAGGTTGTGTGCTTCTAAGATTTTGTCCATTTTGTCTAGGCTGTTTGTGCCGTATATTTGTTCATAACATGTCGTAACTCTTCATATCGGTTGGATCAGTTACAGTAGGCATTATTTGTTCTTATACTAAATCTGTTTTTAAAGGGATACATTTTTTAAGAGTAAAAAAACCAACCTATTTTTTTATAACCTATTAGAGGAAAGTTTCAGAAGTCAAACAAGGTAATTTGTTGCTAGTAACAAGAACAAGGACTTTAACTTGTGTTTCTACATTTCTAGAGTATCGTTTTTTGTAGACACTATGGGCTTTGAAGTTGTCTTGCAGATAAATCATTCATTTTGGAGGAAAGCATTAGGTCGAGGGGTGGAGCAGGTGCTTGTAATTTTGATTTGGGTCTAATACTTACTTTCTCTTCTGCCTCCCCTGCAGCCTCTGTTCCAGAATGGGCCCAGCAGGAGCTTAGCCGCAATGTTCCCTGGAGTGCAACTCTGGTGGAGAAGTGGTTTCCTTTCTCCAACCTCAGCGGTGCCAGTTCAGATTTAATGGAATCATTCTGGTAAAATTTACCCCCACCTTGATTGTTGGTTATTAAATCAGCTCAGTTATCTACCTTTTTTCTTTGAACCAACCACATTCTCTAAGCACAGTTCAAAAACAGTAAAAACTAATTACAAAAATAAAATACTCCCTTATGAAAAAATAAATACTGCCTTATGGACATCAGAATGTATTTGGAATGAAATACCATTGCAATAGAAAATAACAAACTCATACAATAAAGCTAAATTTATATTTAGATAGAAACTTGTAGATATAAATGACTGTTTTTATTAAAAATAATCAGCCAAGAGACCAGCACAATTAGGACAAAAGAATGAGTATCAGAAATAAAGACAGGAGAAGGCATTACTGCAGATCTGGACAGAAATGAATTAACTAGAAAACAAACAACAGAAATAAATTGACAGAAACCAAAGATAACTCTTTGAAGAACCAAGAAATCTAAAGCAAGACTAGACAATTTTAAAACACATGTAAATTAATAGCAGAAATGAACAAGAAAAAAGAAATTTTAATAATTAGAGAAAAAGTGGAAGTTTATGTTTTATTCTGTAGATAACTATTTTTTTCTAGTACCATTTCTTAAAAGTCAATCTTGTTCTGAATGACAGTAAGTTTTAAAGTCAGGTAAGTCCTCTCAGCTTTCCTTTTTTTCTAATTGCCTAAGCTAATATTCTAGATCTTTGCATTCCCGTATCAATTTTAATTTTAGCTTGTCCATTTCCACAAAGACTCTATTGAAATTGTATCAGGAAGTACATTGAATCTAGATAATTTGGGAATAAGTGATGTTAGTGAGTTTTCTGATCCTTAATCATGGTACATTTTTGTATTTAGGTCCTCTTTAATTTCTCTGTTTTGCAGGTTTCAGTTCATAATTTTTTAAATTATGTCTGTAGGATTTCATGTATTTTGACTACAACAATGAGCATAAACAGGGCAAAGATTCTGATACTGGCACAGGTTATGGCAGGCTGGCACAGGTTATGGCAGGATTTTGTTCTGTTGTACATTGAAATGTTTTAAGTTGGAGGCAATTCTTTTTTTTTTTTTTTTAGGTACTTTGAAAATAGATTCATGACCATTTCTATTACACTGTTTTGTGCCCTCAAGTCAGACGCAGTTCATAGCTGATCATCAGGCAGGTTTTCAGACACAATAATACACATGTGAGAAGACTGTCCATTTGATTCCTGTAGAGCAGCTGGTGGATTCAAACCATGTGCTTCTGAGGCGATCTCTGTATTTTCTTCAAAACCCAATTGTTTATTCTTTTGGCAATCCTTGGGATTTTCAATACCCGTCTCCAACATCACAACTCAAAGACATCATTTTTTCTTCGGTCTTCTTTATCCATTATCCAGCTTCTTATGTTGAGGGAAAATAATTATCTTACTGTGGAGTTTGTCTTTCAATATGGCTTTTCTATTGGATTGCAATTCTTTCTTTTCCATTATTATTATTATTATTAATTTTCATGAAAATTTACAGAGATTTGGGATTTCCATTCAGTCATTGTCGTACTTTTCTCCCTGCCCACCCCTCCCCTCCAGTTCATTCTTCTCTTTGAAAAGCAAAAGAAAAACTCTCATTGTTATACAATCCCTCCCCCCAAGTCCACGCCACTGTGCAGCCTTCGTTCTGGACTCCTGTCATGACAATAATACCTAATCATATATCCCTTTTAAACAGTTCTCTCCTCTGTTTCAATGCTTATTCTTAACAACAACATTATAAACCTTAATGATCCCCTGGTGGCACAACGGTTAAGTACTCAGTTGCTGACTGGAAGGGTCATCAGTGTACTGACTAGTAGCTTTGGCTGAGCTGTGTAAAGATCACAGTAAAGGAATGAATGCTATTTTTTATTTCAATTTACAATTGTTTACTGCAGTCTAGAAACAAAGAGCTTTGTGAAGCTAGTATTTATTAAAACACTATAACAAGTATTATAATTGTAAAAGCGAAGCTTAAGAAATATTTTGTCTTGATAGTAAAAGTAAGCCAAGAGCAGTAGCCATTATTGTAGTAACAAAACTCATCTGGTTCCTGGTCATTTGTGTTCTGTGCCTCAACTCTGTTCTTGAGGTGTTTTCTAGAATCAAAAAAGACATGTTCAAGGTTATATTTTAGTTCCCACAGGTTTTCTTTTATCTTTTTCCTTCAACTTGAACTTGAGCATCTGGTAGTATGTTCCACAGTTAGTCCCTGGTCTTGTTCTGACCCTGACTGAGTTTTTTCTTACTGCCTCTTTCAAAAGATGTAGTCAGTTTGATTC